TTAACTATAGTTGTGCTTTGCATCTTGCCCTACAGTTAAATTATTTAGGTAGGAATTCATTCCAATTGCAATCGTTATTACAACTCTTGGTTCGGTGGATTCTTTTAAATAAAATTCTTAATTGGGCCAGATCCATATTTCACTTAACTATAGTTGTGCTTTGCATCTTGCCCTACAGTTAAATTATGTCTGGTAGGAAAAAATTCCAATTGTAACAATTTACAACTCTGGTTGGATGATCTGATTTTATTTATTGATCCTACCGCAGTGCCCTAAGTCTCTCATCCTTATGACCAAGACTTAGTTAAGACTAACCCGGGGCGGGTCAGTACCCTAGTTACGGGTTTCGCGCCTAACCAACGTAAACTGGGCGTCTCACTTGCGTGAGTCCGTTACCGATCTAAATTGGGTTTGACGAGTGAGGGGGCGTCGGGGTGGCACAGACTTAAAATTATGAGGGATTTATAACGCAGTCTTGCCTATGGCATACACCGCGCGTATGCACTAGGGAAAATCACATACATGCATACATTCAATCATACATCACATGCATAATAAGTAAACGTGAAATGATTGTGGCTCCTATAGAAAAACAAACGATAGCGCCTTGATCAAGAGATCTCTATCTCCGGCCCATCACGTCTTCCTTAGGATTGTCTATCACGAACGGACTTCGTCTTCTTATCTTCTTATATATAATTTTCGAAAGAAAAGAATATTTAAGGTAAAGAAGAGAATTACATCCAGAGTATAGAGATGAGGCACGACACGCAGGCCGTATTTAAAATTACAACAAACATAACTAAGCCACAATCATCCACCATGCAATAATACATACAAGCATCACATGCATCACATCATACATATTAAAGCATACACCGGGCGAACCGCGCTCGCCCTACACCTAGTTTATTCTATTCTACGGAATAAACTATCAACAATAAATTAATTAAACTAGCAAGTAATTTCATTAAAAATCATAAAATACTTTAAATTTCCAGAATGTTAGAAATTTTATTTTCTAAATTCCAGAAAATAAAATATTTTATATTTACCGTATATATATATATTTAAATTCGAAAAAGGGCTTTTATTTTGAATTAAATATATATATGTTTTCTAAATTAGCAAATAATTGTTGGAGACTCCCAGTAAACTTTATTAATCTGGAAATCCTAAAATTCCAGAATGAATAAAATTTAAAATTTTGAAAACCATTTTTCAAAGATAGAAAACCGAAATTATATTGTGAAAATATATTTCGAAATTCCAAAAATATAAAAATTTATTTTCCAAGTCAAAAATAAGTTCCAGAACCAAAATATGATTTTTCTAGAATTTAAAATATTAATTTTGCAATTTAAAAGAATTAAAAATCGGACTAGTGAATAGTACCAATCCAATTACTTCAAAAATACAAAATAAATATTTTTAAGTGTTTAAAAATTATGAAAATTTTAATACAAGCCTAAAATCTCTGGTCGCAACTTATCATGAATTAAAATTAATTTTGATCGTCAAAAATAAGTTTTCCCATTTTCTATTCAATAAACGAATTTAAAAATAGAAAAATAGGAAATTAATTCCAAAAATCGATTTTAAAATTTCTGAGTTATATTGACATGTCAAATACTTCCCAGAAAATATAAAATCTAATTTTCATAAATATTAAGTATTTATGGCACAAATAACAAGTATTCTACACATAAACTACTTAATAAGAATAATATAAAAATACCCCAAACAGTAATTCCAAAAATTACTGAACAAAATTATATTAGGTCCAGTATCTAAATATGGCCACCTAATTATATTCTGGGGGTGTTCCTTCGGTACTATTCACTAGTCCGATTTTTAATTATTTTAAATTGCAAAATTAATATTTTAAATTCTAGAAAAATCATATTCTGGTTCTGGAACTTATTTTTGACTTGGAAAATAAATTTTGATATTTTTGGAATTTCGAAATATATTTTCTCAATATAATTTCGGTTTTCTAGCTTTGAAAAATGGTTTTCAAAATTTTAAATTTTATTAATTCTGGAATTTTAGGATTTCCTGATTAATAAAGTTTACTGGGAGTCTCCAATAATTATTTGCTAATTTAGAAA